TGGCATCAAGCTCTCGCAAGCGGCGTACGCGCGCAAGATTCTGGAACACGCGGGCATGAGCGGCTGCAACCCGTGCCACACCCTGATGGAGCTACGCTTGAGGTTGTCGAAGGAAAGCACAATGGTGCCGGTGGACGCCACGGCGTACCGAGGCATTGTCGGGTGCCTGCGGTACCTGGTTCACACCAGCCCGACATCGCGTTCACTGTCGGCTACATCAGCCGCTTCATGGAGCGCCCCACCACCAAACACCTCAACGCCGTCAAGCGAGTCCTTCGCTACATTGCCGACACCATCGAGTTCGGCTGCTGCTACAAGCGCGGAGAAGGCAAGCTGAAGCTGGTGGGGTTCAGCGACGCCGACATGGGAGGTGATGTTGATACAAGGAAGAGCACCACCGGCGTGCTGTTCTTCCTCGGCTCCTGTCCCGTGTCATGGTAGTCGCAGAAGCAGAAGGTCGTCGCCCTCTCCTCGTGTGAAGCTGAGTACATCGCAGGGACTACGGCGGCGTGCCAAGGGATTTGGCTGGCGCAGTTCCTAGCCGAATTGACAAGCAAGCAGCGTGCCGCATTTCTACTGAAGATGGACAGCCAATTGGCAATTGCTCTCAGTAAGAATCCTGTTTTTCACGATCGAAGCAAACACATTGATGTTCGATTTCATTTCATTCGAGAGTGCATTGCTGACGGGAGGATGGACATTGAGCACGTCCGCACTGAGGAGCAATTGGCTAACATCCTAACAAAGCCGCTGGCGCGAGACAGGTTTTGTGAACTTCGTGTTCAGCTAGGTGTAGTCAAGATCAGCCAGGAACATCAGGCTTAGGGGGTGAAATGTGATCAGTTCTTCTGTAATCCTGTGTTCCCGCTCATTTTTTCAATCTGGTAGTTAAGTGTGAGCCCGGCTTGGATTGCTATCCTCCCGGGCGCGTCCTGTATCGTAGGAGCCACGGTGTTCTGGTGCGTCGTGGCGCATGATGTCCGCTTCACGCGGTCTGGCTTGGTGCGTGGGATGGCGCGCACGTTCAAAGTCATGGCTCGCATGGCGGAGGCTCGAGATTAGCTCAGCCTTTCTTTTGTTTCCGTTTGTTTTCTATTCCTAGAAGCTCGTTGTGTATAAGTAGGAGCTATTAACAAAGAAAACGCTGACACGGTTGTGCTCGGCACCAAATTCTCTTGTGTCCACTTTGTGCTTGTGTTCGTCGGTGAGTTTGAGAGCTCGCCGGAGAGGGAGTTCCGGCTGACATCTGTCACCCATTAGTCGAAAATTACATTTAACTCATATGTCATCATAGGCTTTGTTTAGATTCCAAGTTTTTTCACTCTCTCTCCATCACATCAATTCTTTAAACACATGCATAGAGTATTAAATGTAGATAAAAAAATAACTAATTACACAGTTTGATTGTAAATTATGAGACGAATCTTTTGAGCCTAGTTAGGCCATGATTGGACAATAATTATCAAATACAAACAAAAATGCTACGGTGCCAAATACTGATTTCTAACAGCTATCTAAACAAGGCCATACATATACATATGAGAATTGAGGTATAATCTGACCGGTCTTTTGTCATGACCAAGCAAGGTTTGGTAAACAATGTGTCGTTATATCCTCCAAACAAATCATAGAAACTCCATTCCGGCGCAAATACAATTATGTGCTCATCTGTCCGGGCCTCTATTATCGATGCCCTATATTTGTCCATGTGTGGACTGGATCAACGTAGTTGCAGTACACCCTATCCTATAGCCCTGTCAGATAAAGGAGATGGGGGAAGAGAGAAGCTTCTGTGAGCCCGTGAGTTGAAAAAAAGTTCCCAAAAAGATACTACAGTATCATCACATCGAATCTTGCGATACATGCATGGAGCATTAAATATAGATGAAAAAAAACTAATTACATAATTTGGTGGAAAATTACGAGACAAACGTTTTGAGTCTAATTAGTCTATGATTGAACACTAATTACCAAATAAAAATAAAAGTACTACAGTAGCTAAATTCCAACTTTCTCCTCAACTAAACAAGGGCTGAGTACCTTCGTCCCTGCAGATCGCCAACGCCAGATCCCTGTCTCTGCTGCATATGTTGCTTGCATATGTAGTAATTTTTATCACATTATCTGTTGTTCATCTATATTTATTGCTTGCATATGTTAATCTATTGATTTAACCATTTCAGGAGTTTTTTGAAATAATTACGAACTAATAATTTATAGCCTAATCAGCCAATTACTGTAATTCCAACAATCCCAAATATTACTATTCTTGTCTTTGTCTATCCTGTTCATCTGTTCAAAGGAGGGCGATGCAGAAAGGCGGACCTTGTGCACTCTGTCATGCCTTCCAAAATTTCACCATCACACTGACTACTACTTCAGCCGTCTGGCCTAACATATCTTATCTTAGTTAGTACAATCAGCGAAATCTAAACAGACCAACATCCACGCTGCAATTGCGGGTTGCCAGGATTGAGGTCAGTCGAAATACACATGTTACATGTGGATTGCTAAGGAAGAGAAAATGTCAGTGAGTATCAAAAAGTCTTAACTGATCACTAATGCAATTTTGTCAAAAACAATGTTTTGAACAGTTTTGAAATTACATATGTCGCAGATAATAGAACCTGGCCTTGTCGCACAAAAAAATGGAACCTATATCTGTTCTATATCACCTTTGCCAAGTATGAAGAAATTTGGATCACATTTGCTAATTAAAATTAGAGTGACCAAGGGGGTAAATAACTTGATTTTTCAAGTTCTTGGCCAATAAATGGCCAGCTCTGAAGCTATCTGAAATTTTCATTTCACTATAACAAATGCTATCGATCACTGCCCAAATTACCAAAATAATGCATTGAGCATTTTTTAAAAAAAAAATTTTGCACATGTCGCAGCCAATACATCCTGACCTTGTCTCTCTCATAAAAAAATGAAACCTATGGATGTTGGATACCAAACATATCTAGTGTGAAGATACTTAAGTCATGTTGCTAGCTAACTAACAGTTATGCTTCCTACCGTTTTACAACGGATGTGATGGATAGGGCTTTGGTGCTCGCAACAACAATGGTGAGTTCTTAGAGGGGGATGTGGACATCTTGAGCGGCTTACCAGCCCTATACATGCTGAAGCACTTGCAGCGTTGGAAAGTCTTTAAAAGGTGGCACACTTGGGAATGACCTGAATTATTCTTGAGACTGATGCAACAAATTTAGAGAAGGCTCCGAGGTCTGACTCAATGAACAAGGAGTGCAGAAGGCTGCATCTTTCGCCGTATAAAGGAAATTATGAGTGGGTCTTTTGTTTAGGAGATCCGGTCTTACTTAAGATCTTGCACCAAAGTGGGTGATAGCCTTGCTGCTTATGGGGCGAGTGTTGTGCGTTATGGTTTTGATGTGTTCATGGGCTAGGTTCCCGAATTTGTAACCAATTTGGTCTATGATGATATGCCTATGAGCCACTGGTTAGTGGAAACTAAGGCCGGATATCGAGCTGGCTCGGCTCGGCTCGTTCTGACTCGTTAAGATAATGAGCTAGCTCGGCTCGGCCCGTTATCCTAACGAGCTAGAAAGCTAGCTCGGCTCGGCTCGTTAAAAGCTTGAGTTGGCTTGTTAAGCTCGCGAGCCAGGTATAAAAAATACACAAAATATAATATTTGCATTTATCTAAAGTTTGACAATAATAATAATATAAAAGAAATGCATCTAGACTTTTTTCAGTCAATTTATAGGGTCTAAATCAGTTACCAGTCAATTGTAAAGTACAAGACATGAAGTAATACAAAAACTAATATAAGTTTTGATACTTTTTTTCTTGGAAGCTTGGCTCGTTTAGCTCGTGAACGGCTTACGAGCTGGCTCGAGTTGGCTCGTTATAGCTAACGAGCTAAAATCTCGGCTCGACTCGAGCCGAGCCAAATCAAGCCAGCCACGAGCCGAGCAAGCTAACGAGTTTTGAGTTTTTCGTTTAGCCTTAGTGAAAACCCTTGTGAAAAAGAAAAAAAAACGGTTCGGCGTTGTGCACCCGAACGGGCGCCCCCGCCCCGCTGTGCTGAACGCAACCAAGCCGCGGAATTTAGAAATCGCGAGTTGCCTGCGAGTCAAAAGAAGAAGGGTAGCCCACGAAATGAGTCGTTTCTTTTTTTCAGTTGAAATTTTCTCTGTTTCTTATTTGATATTTACTTCAGTAAAAAAAAAACAATGGTTCGGCGTTGTTGTTGCTCTCAAAAAAAAAAAGCGGCGAACGCAAATTTGAGATAAGAAAAAACCTATGCCCGACTCGATGTATGCGCAAAAAAAAAAAAAAAGGGCCTCTCAAATTTGCTTTGCTCGTCGTTTTTTTTTTCTGGGCAAAATGTCTTTTTAACGCAATCAAGCCGCGGAATTTAGAAATCGCGAGTTGTCTGCAAAAAAATTCAAAAAAGAAGGGTACTCATTCTTCCTATGTCAAATAAGGAATTAAAACACGTCCGGCTCTTTTATCTTCTTCATCTGCCATAGATCCAAGAGATTTCTCCATTCCCAAGCTGCTTGACCAGACAAACCATAACAAAAATTGAACTTTCAATCCATCTCCCCTCTCCGGCTCTTCCTCCCAAAACCTCCACGAGCTGCCCTGTCCAGCAGATCCCCGGCCGTTGCCTCCCAAGAGCCCCGCCCCAGTCGACGGTTCCCACCCAAATCCGCCGCCCCAGTCGACGGGTTCGCACCAAATCAGCCGCCTCCGCAGCGGCGCGGGAGCGGCGCCGTTGGGACGCTTTCCCGCTGAAATCTCCCGACGGGGTCTCGTCATTTTGACGCCTGAGCTTCATCCGAGTGGAAAGTTTGGATCTTGGTAAGGATCTTAGGGGCTGGTGGAGTCGAGTCTGCATCTCCTCTTTCGCCTTTCGCTCGCAAAGATCTCGCCTTTGGGCGTTGCATGTGCAGGCCGCTCTCTGGTACGGTCAAGATCTCTCTGACTTTAGTTCTGTCGGTGCTCTTGAACAGGTGCTTGCGGAGATGGCGAGGGCGGGGCCGGCTGCTGTTCTTGCTGTGGTGGTTTTGTCTTGTGCACTGGGAGCCAGAGCTGATGGCTCTGATCACAAGTACAAGGAAGGGGATCATGTCCCCCTCTACGCCAACAAGGTCGGGCCTTTCCACAATCCAAGGTACAGCACACTCTTTTAATGCTCAAACTTTAGATATGGAATCAGCATTATGTTGTACTATGGTTTCAGTTATCCTTACAATGCGAGTTTTCATAAGCTTGCTGTTTATGTTGGTGGTTACGTTACAATTGGATCACTAACAGTTTGGATGCAGTTATGTTGCTTTAACCTCAGTCACCATCATGTAATTATTCAATGGCTAGCATCTCTGTAATTTGGTAGCTTCTTTTCCTCCTTGTACGGTTTGTCCTTCTGTTAGCTCCGAGCTAACAGCCCTGTAACTTCTATTCATTTTTAAATATATTGTTCGGTGCTGGGGAGCTTTGCTCCACAGTTTCTCTTAAAGAAAATAGTTTGGACGCAGCAGCTTAAATATTACTAAGTGTGTCGTAGGTCATGTACTACTCAATTATAGGGCTTAGTATAAAAGTTATGAATCTGCATTCCGAAACTGTTATAGTGGTATTCGTCAATTATAGGAATGGAGTCATGTATTACTAAGTGTTTGCAGAGCTACTTATTTAGCTTGAATGCTTGATAATAATCTTGATAACTCCATACTTGTACCGTGCTGAATGTCATGGCATGGCACAAAGAATGTTCCCTCAATCTTGCATAACTGAAAAAATGAGCCGAGTACAGACTGCATACTTCCACAATCCATCCGAAAAAAATGGGACGAGTACAGACTGCATACTTTAACAATCAGGATCAGCATGGCACACAAAGATGACTTATGTTTGCGGAACCTTCAACAATCAGGTCAGCTGAATAGAAAATCACTAATTCACAAGGTTGTATAAAAACATATTGACACAGAAGCACAGATCACAAGTGTGTACATATTCTCTGTTGACACATAATAACAGATTCTTTTCTGTACACATTTGACGCATAGCTCAGATCACAATTCACAAATGTGTATAAGAACATATCACAATTTACAATCACCAGTTGTGTGTAAGAGTAGATCAAGCACAAATGATATTCCATAAAAGAACAATGTGAAGCAATTGTATAAGCATATCTGTACATATGTATTACACTGTCTTAGAAATTATGGAATAATGTCAGGCACAATTGTAGGCAGATGAGCTCTAGGCTCTAGCTATTGAGGCATCGAGCAAGAATACCATCCTAGAGGCTTTTGTAGTATTCCTGCTGAGTGATGGACATGGTACTAATGTCGATTCATAATTCTCTCTTCGTCCAACATCCTCTTGAACTCAAATTCAGACTTATCAAGTTTAATCCTTTCTTGTGCTGGTATTTGCTCCTCAGATTGGCTAATCTGAGGACTCAAACCAACAGCATCAGTACCATCTCTAATCAAGGTTGTGAAATATCACCCTCCATGTATATGTCCTGCAAAAACATTACAGAGCCTCTCTATGAAGGAAAAGAACATAAAAGAAAGAGCAGCTAAACTAGTAGTATCGCTTATGGTCTAACAAAGTGAATACTGAATAGAGGCTGCAAGTGAACAGAAAATAACAGCTAAATTACATTTGCAAGTACTAGCTAGTAGTACTGCTCATGGTCTCACAAAGTGAAGACTCTACCAACTGAGCTACTATCACTTATTTATTTTTTATAGTTTCCCCGCTATTGCATCGAGCACAAGAGTTTGCTTTTCCCAGGCAATTTTCGGTCTTTGACTTCTAGAGAAAACAATTTACTTTTCAAACAAAACAGTTTAACACCTGAGATGTAACCCGGGGGAAAATCTATGTTAGATCCACATGAGGGGCTGGCCGCTGGCCTAAATGGGAGAATTATATGTGCTGATTTTTTTAAGCAAGTACTTCAGATTCTGTTCTCCCAAAAGATGATCCTATCCATAACTCAGACACAAGACAGAGCTTCACCCTAGCCGGTTGCAGAATCAAACAAAACAAAAACTACTGAGTGGATCATCATCTTTCAGCCAATGCATGGGCCGACAGCCCTTGCCCTAGCTGGAGTCTGTCTCCCCCTCCTGCTGACTGGAACGAAAAGGATTCACCACTGCCAAGCATCTGGGGATGTGGATTGACCTGCCAGTGCCACGATTGGGTTCTCCCCAGCCATGGGCTGCAGAATTGTTTCATGGAGTACGCCAACATGGCATATCTGCAGAAACGGTGGCATGTGGGGAAGGGGAATGTGGCAATAGGCAGACCTCACGGGAAAAGGATTTGCGTGCGCAGGGAAGGAATGCTGTGCTCCTTGCCTGTGTGGGAAGGTTTTCACGACTCCGGATTCAGAGTGGAGTCGACTCTCCACCTCTAGCTAGCGAGGATTGCAGGATGTGGTATGGCCATAATTGGAGAACAATTTTGGGGTGCTGTTGGCGGTGTTTTTTGTTACCAAGAAACTCAATATATGGCTAGAGGAATTGCTTTACAGATGCTCTTGGTTGCTGTTACAGTGTCTTTGTGGTTCCACATACACTAGCTAGAAATAAGCAGTATGGATATCTCGATCGAGGATAGGTTATATGGGCAACTATGCAATGTGAGCTATGGCATTTTCATATTTTTGTTAATGCTTAAAAAACAGAATCTACAAGGGAATAAACATGCGATGTCTCTATTGAGCCTCTTTGTTAGCACTGTTTTGCTTTTGTTTGATCATGAGTTGTCGTGTATTGCAGTGAGACGTACCGGTACTATGATCTACCCTTTTGTGCACCAGGTATACAAATCCCAACCTTTTCTGCTGTTGTTTGCTTTAGCGATCTCTTTGACTGGTTCTGACCATTTATTGCTTCTTTCTGTTAAATGCTGGCTTGTAATAGAACATCCAAAGGACAAAAAGGAAGCTCTTGGCGAGGTTCTAAATGGTGACCGGTTGGTTGATGCCCCATATGAGTTGGACTTCAAGGAAGACAGGAACTCCAAGGTTCTCTGCACGAAAGTATTGTCAAAAGAGCAAGTTGCCAAGCTCCGGGATGCAGTTGCCAAGGATTACTATTTCCAGATGTACTACGATGATTTGCCATTATGGGGATTCCTTGGTAAATTGAACAAGGACAAGGATCAAGGAGATGCGAAGTACCTACTGTTTAAGCACATCCACTTTGACATCATGTACAATGATAACCGTGTCATAGAAATCAATGTACAGACTGATCCAAATGTGGCTGTGGATATCACAGAGGACAAGGAAGTGCCAATAGAGTTCTCTTATTCAGTGACATGGAAAAAGACAGATATTCCTTTTGAGAAAAGAATGGATAAGTACTCCAAGTCTTCCTCTATGCCACAACATCTAGAGATCCATTGGTTTTCCATAATTAACTCGTGTGTTACTGTACTCCTCCTGACTGGTTTCCTGGCTACAATCTTGATGCGTGTTCTCAAGAACGATTTCATCAAGTAAGATATTAGCTACTGGGCTCCATTCTAGTCACCTAGCTTGCAGTTTACTAGATGCATTATTAATTCATTAATTTTCATTGAAGGTATTCTCATGAAGATGAGTCCCTTGAAGACCAAGAGGAGACTGGATGGAAGTATATTCATGGTGATGTCTTCCGTTTCCCCAAACAGAAGTCCGTTTTTGCAGCACTTATTGGATCTGGAACTCAGCTTCTTGCCCTGTAAGACCTCTGTCAGTTTAGATTATCTTATTAGTCAAGCTCTGAAAGGATCCTATCCGTTATAAATGATTCTTGTTTCACAGTGCGATTTTCATCTTCCTCCTCGCTCTTGTTGGTGTCTTTTATCCATACAACCGGGGAGCTCTTTTTACTGCCCTTGTTGTCATCTATGCTCTTACATCCGGTATTGCTGGATACACAGCCACTTCTTTCTATCTGCAACTGGAGGGAACAAACTGGGTAAGCCATGCTTTAATGATCATCTTTCTTCAATCCTTTGCTGTTGTGTGTTTACACGTATGTCTATGTGTTTCAGGTTAGGAATCTAATATTGACTGGCTGCTTATTCTGTGGACCTCTCTTCTTGACATTCTGTTTCCTAAATACAGTTGCAATAGCGTACAGTGCTACAGCAGCTTTGCCTTTCGGCACTATCATTGTCATTATCCTCATCTGGGCACTTGTAACCTCTCCTCTCCTTGTGTTGGGTGGTATAGCCGGGAAAAATAGTAATACAGAATTCCAAGCCCCCTGCCGCACAACCAAGTACCCGAGGGAAATCCCTCAGCTTCCATGGTACCGAAGCACCATTCCTCAGATGGCAATGGCAGGGTTCCTCCCTTTCAGCGCAATTTACATTGAGCTGTACTATATATTTGCCAGTATCTGGGGGCATAAGATATACACTATCTACAGCATCCTCTTTATTGTGTTCATTATCCTCATCATTGTCACAGCCTTTGTCACAGTGGCACTTACGTACTTCCAGCTTGCTGTTGAGGATCATGAGTGGTGGTGGAGGTCAGTGTTTGGAATATCAACTCATCTTTATGCTGTATCCCTCATTTTTGTTCTTGTTTGTGGTTACCTTTTTATTGTCTTTGAAAATGCCATCCATCAAAACTAGAAATGAGAAGCACAAGGTCTGGTTTGTAGCAACTATTTTAGTACATGGATTGCTAGATCAGAGCTTCCTGGGGAAATGTTTATAGAAAATGCATTTATGATGTTACTGAAAGTACTGGAACTTAATAAACACTCGGGCATCCAATGAAAAATTAGAATAAACTTACTTCTATAGCACTTAAAAAGTTATATTTCAGCAACAACTTTGAGTTGAGATATATCATCTGCTGTTGTTTTGTATCAACTGATGCTTGGATAAAGTTTGGTGCTAAAATAAGGCTGATGGATATAGGACACTCAAGATGTGGATTATAATGAATGATATGAATGAACATATACATTTTTGGAATCGTGGTCTGTAGCAGAGAAGTCAGAATTTATGTGTGCATTAGGGAACCATATCTGGATAAACTAGTTAGATGTCTGTTCTCTAGTTTTGTAGGTTTATGTTTTCATTCTCTGTCTTGCAGTTTTATCTTCCACGTGGAATACAATTACAAACCTGTAAAAATGTCTGCTTGCAGATCTGTCCTGTGTGGAGGCTCCACGGGCATATTCATCTTCTTCTACTGCATCTACTACTACCATGCGCGGTCCGACATGTCAGGCTTCATGCAGACATCCTTCTTCTTCGGCTACATGACCTGCGTCTGCTACGGCTTCTTCCTCATGCTGGGCACTGTCGGTTTCCGCGCATCGCTCTTCTTCGTGCGGCACATCTACCGCTCCATCAAGTGCGAGTAAACATTGGCTGTTGCTAGATCTACTCCACGTGGTCCAACATGTCCATGGCTGCTGTTTGGGTGGCTTCAGATCCGAATGGAGAAACCGTGACCAGTTGGATTGTGCCTGAATTATGCCCAAGCGCCAGCATGCTCCTCAATCTGAACCTCTTCGCCTTTAGCCTTTATAGCCTTTATATGTTGGAGCTCCCGGAAAGGAGGATGTATGTAGTGTAGGACTGTTACCAGAGGCAGTGTCTGTCAGTCTGTATTATTATCTACACTTGTAGTCCAGTCAGTGTCACCCTATAATTTTGTTGCTGAAACCTGTCTCTTGCTCAGTAGAACATAGTATGCTTTTTTTTTTAATATAACATAGTATGCTTGTATGTGAAACAGAGGGAGGAATGAATTAGCATGTACGGAAGTCCGGTGTGATTGAACAAGGACAGTTTAGGTGCAAAGGCAAGCGCAGTCTCTTTTGTTTAGGTGGAGATGCTGCAGGTTGGGCTAATTGGCTCACATGGGCTTGGGGAGCTGAAGTGGGCCTAAAATAGGCCTACATGTACTACACTACTTTTTTTTATGAAATCCCTGGCTCTATGGCCCTGTTATTAGAACCATAAGCTCGACAACATCGCGAGCAATCAAGGTCTTTACAAATTTTGGGAGGGGGCTTGCCCACACGTGGCGACCACCCAGGTCCCAACACATAGCGAGCTTAGCTAAATTATGTGCTATCCCATTACAAAATCTAGGAATAGAAATGACACTACTGCATACAAAATGCTCATTCAACAAATCACGAGTGTCCCTTATCAACATTCTGCATGCTGCGAGATCCATGGATGGTGAGACATGAGCTTTTTAAAGAATTGTCGAGTCCATCTCCACCTGCACTCGTGAAATACCATGATCTGTAGCCGCTTGCAAAGCCCGAGCACACGCTGCTGCTTCAGCTGTGATCGCATCTGGGATTGATCCCAGGCGACTGGCCCCTGCAAGCACCACTTCGCCTTCATAGTCACGGATAGTAAAGCCCCAACTTCCTTGCATCGTCCCCTGGACCGAATTGATCATGAGCTGGCCCGGCGGTGGAGCTTGCCATCTAGCATTCCCAACTGTCTGCCTGATCGGCTCCTTTCTCTCCGACTTGCTCAGATCGTTCAGCAAGTTAAGTACATCTGCAGCAACGCCATCCGCACCCTGACCCTTCTCCCCTTTGTTAATTTTGTTTCTCTCAGTCCACCACTTCCAAAGGAATAACACTGTTTTAGTTCGGACTTCTTCTTTCAGTGATAATATTTCAGTCACCACTTCCCATGCCGATTGCTTTGACAACAGCTGTTGGCGAACCGGTTCAAGGGAAAGAGTAGACCAACATCGCTTCACCAGCTTGCATTTAAGAAAGCAATGTCCTCCATCCTCATCCAACCGGTGACAAAACTGGGCATCTTGTATCGAGCTGCACACCTCTCCTCTGAATATGCATCTTGAAAGCAAGACAGTTGCGTGCCATGATAGAGTGATAGCGGGGAAGGAATGAGTTATTAGGGATACAAGAACAGTTTGGGATGGGTGGACAAAGTCCAGAATGGTTGCACAAGAACAGAGGTGCAAAGACATGAGCAGTTTGCTTTTGTTTAGGTGGACATGCACAAGGTTGAGCTAATGCCAACCCCAGCTAGTTGCATGGGGTTTGGGGAAGTGAGATGGGCCTAGAAAAGGCCTCACAGAGCAGGTCCAAGCGCATCTTTGTGCCTTTTTTCTATTCCCTTTCAATAAAGATACTGTATTTGTTATTAAAAGATGAGATGGAGTAAGACGGTGACGTGAGATCAGATGTCTCTGGACGAATTCGAATATAGCTAAGCTAGAAAAAAGGCCTGTAGCGGGGAGATTCTTGTCTTGGTGTTAAAGGGGGAAGGGAAGGGAAGGAAAAGGCTCACTCCGGGGACCAAAAATTGAGATGCCAAACGAGCGAACCAACACGGGGTGACAGCAACTCTCACTCTCTCGCAAAGGACCAAAGTTGAAAGAAATGCACTGGCTTTTTCTAATCCAGTAGTCTAAAATATACACACATGACTTTGTTTTGATTTGAGTTTTTATTTGCAGCCCTGCTGTGTTTTTTTTTTTGTATTGTTCTTTCCAGCCTGAAGATGATGAGAGCTCCACCAGCAGCTGTGTTTTTGGATTGATTTTTTCAGACGAGGAGGGGTCGTCATCACCCATCACCCATGGATATCTCAGTGATTCCCCCCATATATGCTGAAAGAAAGCCTGAACACACACGTTGCATACTTGCATTGCGTCATGCGTTATGCTGTCGTCTTGTCTGCAAGTTCCAAAGCCTGAACTGATCATGCTAGTTTGCGCAATCCGGTTGTAGGTTCCTTGTTGCCTTTCTCCTCTTCCTCCATTATGGTCATGGATGCATGGATATATCCTATGCTTCCCTTGTTTTGTCCAGTCTGCTCACATCAAATCGAAACGGCGACATAACAAAGTGTCATTAAACACCTAAACCACCCGAAACTTTCGGATGGAAGAAACGCGATGACTGTTCATCAGACACGTGATTGTGATGGCTCTATCAACGCTGCAAGTCGCAACGACAAAGTTGACAATGCAACGTCAAATCTTACAACCGAACCGAGCGTCGTGTCGTACAAGGACTTTGAAACAACGTAAACCTACCGCTGGGCTGTTGTTATCTTTCGCCGAAAGCCAGTTCCGTAAACTTTCTCTACCATCAATCAATGTTATATACTCGTGGTTTTGAGAAAAAAAAGAAGGCACTCCGTCCAACTCAAAAATAAAAACACATCACGCGTTGAAACAGTCAAATCTTTTTTAAGTTTGACTAAAAACACAGTTCCAGTATACTAGTATAGTACCAAATCCAACCGTTTAAAGTTTATATCAAGTTCATATATGAAAATCATTAAACAAATCTAGTTAAGATTCTTGTGGTTGAACTTGTCTACTCGGGTTCAAATCCTCGACTTGACGAAGTTGTTTGTATTTTTCTAGATTTAATGACATTCTTTTAGTAGCAGGTGACCTAAACATCGGCAGTGAGACGCATGAGTCGGTTCAACCTTTTGAAGGTGTTCATAGCAATATGGTGTATGCGTGTGTTTTGTAAGGGTGAGTGTACGTGCACGTAAGAGTGTTGCATCTTTACTATGATGAGCAAAAAATAAACATCAATATTTGTATCACATTGACTAAGTAGTGAAATGCACCTTAGGTCCTTGAAGTTGTTTATAGGTGTCATATAGGTCTCCCAAAGTCTCAAAATGCATTTTTTGTCCCCGAAATTAGTTCGGGTGTCGTCCAGGTCAAGACAGGCGTTTACCCGACCTGGTAGCTAACGCGGCATGCTGACTCAACGGTTACATGGATATGAAAAAAAAAAGCTTTTGTCAATATTTGCCACCGACATGTGGGTCAAAGACCCTAAAATACATTTTGAGGCTGTAGGGACCTATATATGACATTGATAGATAACTTTCGAGAATTGTTGGTGAATTTCACTCTTAAAAAAGTATATCGTTAGATTCGTCCTGGAATATATTTTTATAGTATATTTATTTGGTGTAATAAATATTGATACTCTTTTCAGTAGATTCGATCAAACAATTTTAGATGGGTTGACTAAGGATAGAGTTAGAACTGTATTTTTTTTTTTATGTGGTGCTTGCGTAGAAAAAACAAACAAATGGAATAGAATATAGAATAAAAGAAAAGGCAAGGAATGGTGGGGAGAGTGGTAGTGGCAGGAAGATGTCCACGACCACGAGAGTCGAGAGAGACGGATGGATGCTGTGGTCCACCACCTGACCTCCAATCTAACCCCAACCCCACCAGTCCTTTTCACCCAGCAACGACAGACTCCCGTTCCCATCCCCCAACAGTAAAATTTGTGGGCCTCCCTCCGTGCAAGCTGCAGCGCAATTACGCAACGCGAGCGCGAGAAGGAGATTTGACGACAGCGACGGGGCGAGCCGAGCCGAGCCGATTTCTCCGGCACGGTAGTCGGTCCCATCTCGTCTCTCGCCTGCACGCGGGCTGCGTCTCGCGACATCGCGGGGGATTTGCCTTTGCTTTGCCACGAGATCTCCCCGTTTCCCCGGCCGCGCGCGCGCGACACGACACGAGAAACGGAGCCGCACGAGCCGTGCCGCGCCCGTGAGATACCGCCGAGCTGCTCGCTGCTGGGTTGGTGAGGTTGGCTGCTGGGACGGAGGAGCATGGGTTTGATTTGATTTGATTTGATTGCCTCATTTCTTTAGGGAGGATGGATGGACTGATTGCGACGTGATGGCTCCACTAATCCTCCTCCATCCGTCTGCCTGCCTCACTGCCTGGCTTCTTCAGAGATGGGTCTCATTTGGATTCTTCACCGATGGCGATGGCGATGGCGACGTCCTCCCACCCACCCAGCACGCATCACCACTCTAGAGATCTCTCTCTGCCCTACTGGTATGGTACTGCCTAGACAGAGACACACACAGTGTGAAAAAGGGACACTACCCCTGCCTACAGTATTGGTACTGTATCTCTAAATAAATTTATTATAAAAATATATTGAGCGATCTATCAAACGATATTAATTTATACCATAATTATTATTATTTATATATATTTAATTAAAGTTTTTTCTTCGAAGAAAAAACAACAGTTATTTAGAGACGGAGAGAGTACTATTTTATCACTGTGACTAAACTTAGTCATCTACTAGTACTCACTCCGTCCTATGAAATAGTGCTATGTGTTAGTAGATCAAACTTGACAAAATTTATTATATATGAAAAATGCTAATATTCATCCTATGAAATAGGTACCATTTTCACAATATAGGAGTCCATTTGATGTCCTAAACATTAATATTTTTATTTATATATTTAATTAAACTTTAGGCACTTTGGCCAAGAATATATCTAGAATTGTATTCTTTTCAAGACGAAGCTAGTAAATTTTAGTTTTACTCCATCCAAATAGTTGTACTTAAAG